GTTCCAGCGAGCATCATCGTCGTCATTCGGGCTAGACTTCCCTGACGGATCATCTGGGCTCGGCGCTCGAGCCGTTCGTCGTTTCCTGGACGTCTTCGACCGACGTGCACTCCGGATGCGAGCGCCCCTTGACTCTGCAATCTCGACATCGTCCTGGTCAACTTGCACCCGTGGCGCCGGGATAAACGTCTGCGTCACTTGGCCTCCTAAACCTCCGGCATCCGGGATGGCACTTCCTTGGGCGGTCATCACCATTCCTGATGGACCCGCATACGGCAAGTGAGATGCCGCGGTAGCGCCTCCGACTGACCAGCGTGAGGATAACGAGGAATGCGTCGTCCGGGACGTCTGTGATCCCGAGGTGCCACTGACGTTGGATTCTTCCGAGCTTCTAGCGGACGCTCCGAATAAACTCGAGGAGCGTCGCGAGCTTGACGTCGTCATGGCATCTGGGAGAGACGAATCGTAGCTGGCTTGGGTCGGCGTCCGGAGCGACAGGTGCGAGCTCAGGGACGGAATCGAAGACGGAGCAGGGTGCTGGCGCTTCAAGTCCGGTTCTCCAAGCGACGAACCAACAGGGCTCGGAACAGTCCGGCAATGCCTTCCAGACGCCGCAGACATTCAGGGCCAAGGACGCCGGCCTGGTAATCAGACATTAATAGATCACCTTCCCGGTCTTCAGCCGTGATGTCTTCCGCATTGGCTTCCTCAGCATCGAGTTTCGGAACGTTCAGTCCAGGTGCAAGAACAATTTGCGATGGAACCTCTGAAGAAATGTCACGCCAATTCAGGAGTTCCAGAGCGAGCAAGCGTTGAAGGTCCTGAGCGACTCCCAACACCACTTCCGGGTTCAATCTGGACGTCCGAGTCTGAGACCATCCTGGAATCAGGTTGCGAAACCTGAAACCGGCCTCGAAGAACAGTGTCTGCAGGAGCGCAACGCACTCGACCGCGGACAGCGTGTCCATCTCGACACTCAGGGCGAACAGGTCATCGTCAACGGCATTCGGGGACAACCGCACCAGGTTCCACTCAGAAATCCAAACGTCGCTCGGGCGGGCCATCGACATCCGGGTTGCAATGTACTCGGAGGTCGCGTTTGCCGTGACGTACCAAGCCTGGAAGTTGGGTCCAGGGCTCGGCCACTCGTAACGCACCGTCGGAGACGACACGTACTCGGACTGCGCACGCTCCCAGCGTCGGACTTGTTCCTCGACGTACATCCTGGATGACACTTCGGAATTCCAGGGTACACGCCCGTCCAGATCTTCATCCGCCGTCAAGTCAATGGCATCCGTCATTCGGGATGTCGGTGACGGCGGGGTTCCAAGCGAACTTGGGCCACTTGCTGGAAGGACCTGCCTGGTCGACTGCAATTCGGGTTGCAAACTCGAAGGCTCGATGGTGTCCCCCTGAGCTGCTTCCTCCTTAACCGTCGACAACGGCCCCTCCTCCTTGATCGTCGGCGTGACATCCGGTGCGACCATTTTGGGCGAAACCTCAGCTTCACCTTCCGAGTCATCCAAGACGATCACGTCCGATCTCGGCTTCAGGGATCCCGAAGGACCACCTTCAGCCGGGCACTTAACCTTGACGGCGCCTCCCACTGACGCCTGTGTGGGTACATCCGGGGCGGACACACCCACGAACTCCACACTCGCATTTGAGTGTGAGCTCCTCGCGGAGTCACTCGGGGTCTTCTCTTCGACATCCGGGGCGACGGCATCCGGAACTGCATGGTGCGCATTCGGGACGTCGGAATCCGGGGTGTCTCGATCTTGAGCTCCCGACGACTCCTTCTCCTTCTTCTCAGCGGCTGCCTTTCGCTTCGCAGTATTCCGTTCCCGGGCAGCCTTCTCTACTTCCTCCAGGGACGGTTGCTCCTCCGGCAGCAACCCCTGAGCACGCAGCGACTGGCGTAACCCGGGGTTGCGACCCTTCCGACCGCGTCCTTTTCCACGTGTGCTGTCTTCACGTCCAGCCATACCTTCCAAAGTACTCAGAAAGTTAGTAGCTCTCAGCACCCC